AGGCTATGTCATTCAGATTGAGTTGCATTAGCGTGTCGAGCTCATGCCACCATCTGCAACCACTTTATTAGGTCGCGCCGACGCGTCAATCAATAATTCTACAATGCCTTGAATGTCTTCCAGGCACATCCTCCAGCTTGCTTTGTCGAGCTTCCTCAATCCCTGTGGCATTATTGACTGGTGCCTTATCAAAAGCTCCCACAGTTTACGTCCGAACAGCCGGACTTCTTTGTTATCGGTGTTGTACTATACTTCCTCAAATGCCTTGGAAATTTTACAAGTTGGATCTGTTGTCGCTGGTTTGGTATTGGTGGTGCCTCTAGCTAGGAGTTATTGGACGAGCTGTGCATTTGCCCATTCTTATTAACCTCTACGCGCCCAACTCATGGATCACTTGCGCACTGTTGGCTCCAGCCCCCCTCGTGAATTTCCCTCGGCAATCACATCGCATAAGACACCCAATATCTGCGAGCGCAGTAGTCAATGCCGCTAAGAATTATTAGGCAGCAGGTGTTTTGGAGGTCGTGTTCCCTCGGAGGTCGTGTCAGCACCTGGACGTGACGTCTTTCCGCTAGCCTTATCGGGCCGCCCAGCGACTTCACAATCAACCCAGCCACTTCCTACATACTCCTGCACTTCAAGACGAACATCATCATGGATTAACTGCGAAGGAATGTCGACTTTACAGTCAAAGTCGGCCCTCGGAACCTACGTAGACACACTTCGAGGAAACCGGCAAAAGCGACTCTGCCCAGCTCAGCATCTAATTGACTCGACGAGACTCGCAAAGATGGCTTCTGACGAACAAGATGTGCAGACGACAACGTCTCCGCGCGATTCCTCCGAACCCAGCGAGGGCATACTGAAGACCATCATGGGTCTACGGGGCTTAGACATCAGCCAAGAATCTCTCTTCGATTTCGAGCTGCCACCTGGCTCCACCGAATGGCCTTTATCACCTTATGGGCCTCAGTCACCCCATCTTCAATATGCCAAGGGCCGCAGATCTGCTCGCGACAAGCGATGCTCCGCGGTTGCCAGTCCAGCACGACCTATCAAGGCACGAAAGCCCAAGAGGTCAACGTCTGCTAAGCGCAAGGCCGAACCTCGCCAGGATCATGGCCCGCTACCACCTCGGGATGAGCCTCTTCACCTGCTGAATCTCCCCGGCGAGCTGCGCGACATCATTTACGATATTTTGTGTCTGCGTAAAGACCAGCTGTATGCGCAGTTGCGGCCGACTTTGCAGAAAGAAGGGCGTCATTTGCGGAAAATCCTTCGGCGCCACCCGACCGAGCCCATTCTTGCGCTTGTCAACAAGCAGCTACGTCGCGAAGTTTTGTCCGTCTTCTACGGTGCGAACAGCTTCGTCTTCAGGCGCTCGAATGAGACGTTGCTCGAGAAGTACAGTATGACAAACCCAATCCACCTGGCGCGTTTCATGACGCCCGCGACCTGCTTTATTCGCAAGGTCGAGCTCAAGTTCGAAGCTAAGGGCGGGCTTGGAATACAATTTCACTTCTCACACAAGCTACGGAAGTCTCAAGCGGAGGTAGTGACAATCTCGCACGACCTTGCTAAGACTTACTGCTCATGCCTCGAGGACAACGCAGTAGCTGAGACACTTGCGGAGGGCAATACAAGTGGTGTTGGGAGGGATCTGGTAGGTCTTGCTTCTTTGCTCAGCATTCAGCGGCAAAACAAGCTGGACGGTGTTGCACACAAGGACCAGTTGGAGGGCGGTATGTACAAGTTGCCGACTGCGAGGTGCGTCCTTTGTCACAGAGCCAATCTAGCGCATGTGAGTGCAGGGATGTAAGGTCTTAGTGAGGAGCGTTGCGGGCATGGCAAGAGTGAGGATGGTTTGGACGGTTTTGATGTGTGCATGAGTTCGACGATGGCTATACAAGATACCCTAGGCTCGGCATGATGATGATTAAAGTATTGTAGTGACTGCTCCAAAGCGGGACGTAAGGGCAACATGCCTGTCGCAATCCGCATTGCCATGACTGAGCTTGGCCAATATAGTGGCTTTGCAGCTCATTTGGCGCCCCCATGCCAATGGGACCTTGCAAGGCCTTGCAAAGCTGATTTCTTGGGTCGTTTTAATAGAGTTAGTGCTCCAAGTCGGGTTGGTGCAGCACGTAGCAGGATTGCGAGGGATTGGGCATCCGTGGAGCTACTAAGCTGCACGGTCATCCATTATTGCAATGTGCCGTCACAATGCGACTTCGTCTCCGTATCTGCCGCGTTGTGTTTGTGATGACTCGCCACTCTTGCCATTTCGCTCGACAACAAGCATAATGTATAGATCAGGAACTGGCTTGCGCAATGCACTACATACCACGGTGGCATCAGGGTATTACGATACGATATGCTTGGTGTCGGACATGCGACTCAATTGCCTCGAATGGACCTCTGTACGCCCACGGAATTGCTTTCAAAATGCAATCGTGCTCTTCTCCTCTGCCGCTGTGACGGCTCAAAATGCACTGCAAGTCGGTATCTCGCATGTTACATGACCAGGCTGTCGGGGCTTTGTTGTTTGTTCGCTCAGAAGGGCAGAAAGTCCGCTTGACGCACGCTCCAGCTGAGTACCTGTACCTTCCGTCTGTGCTTCCAGACTTCAGCAAGTTGTATGTACAACCAGACAAGGCCAGCAGGCTCACGCTAATAATGAAAGAGCCATGATTATAGCGATGTGGTCGCGGCAACTAGATTCAAGGCCAAGGTCACACGGTTCCTGGCACGTACCGTCGCTAAGTGGAGTGCAAAGCCTCGCTCCACATTCCGACTCTGACCAACGAGTAAGGTAGGTAACTATCGGCCTATCATGTACATTGGAATGGCCATCTTCGCTCGTGTCCACTTCAACCGAGTTCGCGAGGCGAGGATGAACCAAGTTTCACGGGGAGACAGCACTCAACAGCGTTAGCAGCCCGAAGCTTCAACGTTCCCCGAATCCAACAAGCGGCACCACCTCCCGGCGGAGTCGAGAGTGACATAGCACTAGGAGGTAGCGACTGCTGGAGAGACACTTACCAAGTATATGAGCCTTGCCCGACGATAGCACGACCTGGGTAAATACTGCTCCTTGCCCTTGTTGACTGCACTTTCGTTAGTATGCACCAGCTCAATAACTCTGCCCTCGACTTGCCTAACAACGCCCTGCCAGACCACCATTCGCAAGCGCATAAGGCAGCTATCATGCCTGACGCGATCCTCGACGACATCTCCCACCGACGATACAATCTGCTACGGGGTTCATGGGTGCTTGTCTCACCACATAGGACGAAGAGGCCATGGCAAGGGCAGCAAGAGGCTGCTAGTAAGATTGAGCTGCCGCAATACGATCCTTCAGTGCGTGATAATGCGCTGGATGTGGGAGAGACGTTACTGATGGACGTAGTAGTGCTATCTATGTCCTGGCAATAAGCGAGCACAAGGCGACATCAATCCCAAGTACGACAGCACATTTGTGTTCGTCAACGACTACTCGGCTGTGAAGGAAGAGCAGGCAGAGTACATACCAGAAGCACAAGATGGCTGTGAGACGTGCCATGACTTTTGTGTCTAGGTGCGATGGCTAACAAGCAACAGCGCTGGCGTCGCGCCTGCTCAAAGCGGAAAGCACGACAGGCAAGTGCTACGTCATAACATTTTCGCCTAAGCACAACGAGACCTTGGCCGACATGCCAGCAGATTCCATAATGCCAGTCATAGAAACGTGGACTAAGTTGTACACTTCTCACATCGATCCACATTCGCCGCTAGCCCGGGCATCTAAGCTGACAACGCTGCCGCCATCGGGCACGAATGGCCATGTTGTGGAAAAGCCCAAGCAGCAGTATCGATTTATGCAGATCTTCGAAAACAAAGGGCAAGCAATGGGCTGTTCCAACCCCCATCCGCACGGCCAAATCTGGACGACCACTTCGTTGCCTGAGGAGCCAAGTCTGGAGCTCCAGAATCTGCAGACGTACCGGAGAGAGCAAGGCGGGTGCCATCTGCTCGAAGACTACGCCAAGCTCGAGAGCGATAAGGGCGAGCGGACGGTTTTTGAGAATGTGAGCTTCTGGGCAGGGTGTCCTTGGTGGGCTACTTGGCCATTCGAAATTATGGTAGTGGCGAAACAGCATAAACGGGCGCTCGTCGACCTCGATCAGAAGAACAAGGAGGATCTGGCGGAAGTGATTGCAGAGATCACGCGGAGGTACGACAACCTCTTTGAGACAAGCTTCCCGTACAGTAAGACCTCACGTTTTGATATGGATGACACTATGCTGATAGATGTCGTTGCAGGCATGGGTATTCATCAGGCACCGCTCACCGGCACGAAAGAGGAGATTGAGGCTTCGCACTTCCATCTCCACTTCTACCCACCACTATTAAGATCTGCGACTGTGCGCAAATTCCTGGTCGGGTACGAGATGATGGCTGAGCCGCAACGGGATATCACGCCTGAACAGGCGGCGAACAGGTTGCGAGGGTGCGGCGGCGAGCTGTATCGGAAGAAATTGCAGAAATGATCGAGTGGTGAGCTCTCAGGTGGCATTGACGGCTGATACATTCGCCAACGTTGCCACCTTGAGAAATTAGATGGGAGTGCATAAAGTATGATAGATGAGAGCTTTGGCACAGCATGGTTTGAGATGCTCGGGTTGCATGATGAGGTACGCCCTGAGACCGCTGTGGAGACTACGGGATTATATTCGCGTTTAGACTCTACACGTCTATGTAGATGCTCGTCGAAAATTGCCACATGTCTGGTCAATTGGTGTTGTCAAATTAATTTTTTGAGAACAAGCCCAGAGCATATAAGCATGCAGCTCTTGAGCAGGACGAAGCCAGGTTCAAGGTAGACTGCGAAAGCGCAGCCCCAAACAGGAAAAATGTACATAAGGTGCGAGAACTAATCGTTATGAGGATCTTTGGACAATCTCTGATTAGGTAGTCTAGACCATACCTAGGACCTCTCCAAAGAAATGCAAAAATCCAAACGACCAACATGGGACTCGAACCCACAACCTTCCGCTAGATCCAATCGTAGGAGGCGGACGCTCTACCATTGAGCCAATCGGCCCAGATATAGCGGAGCCACCCGCCTTTGTCAATATATAGTGCAACGGAATCAAGCCGAGGTTCATCCGAGGAACCATCAATTCCCTACCAGCAGACAGCTATCTGGTCCCGGTTGGTCGAACAGATCATGCTGGCAACGATCTGAGGCGTGCGAGCTTGCAGTGATTGAGGTCCTGTACAATACTCCAAGGATCGCATTGGTTCGCTCGATCTGTACGTCGAACCATGAGTATTGAATTGTCGTTACGAAAAGATCAATCTTGGAAGGGAAGAAAACTGATGGAGAAGGCCTTAACGACATTGAAGACGATTAGGATCAATGCCAGGCAATTTGAAGTCTGGCAAAGGGCAAGAGACATCGCCAAGGACGTCGGACGCAGTTGCTCGATGGGTGGGCGGATGTAGTGCTGCCGCAGATAGACTTCTGCGTGTCTGCCCGGAGAGCCTCAGCTACAGCAGAACTGATGAGAAGTACACAGAACCGACAGATATATGGACGGTGTTTGAGGACCCGGATCCCACCCCTGAGCGATTCAGCAAGCAGACGACCGGAAGCCAGAGGGTATTCAGTTTCCGGGCGGATGAGCGTATGATCGGACGGGGTGTTGGCAAAACACAATCGCAGACGAGACGGCTGTTTGAAGGTGTTCTGGTGCCAACTTGGATCCTGCATCGCTGCTGACGGCTGTGAGGCAGTAAAGGTGCAGTTCTCCAGCCCTGGTCCAAAACCAATCTCAGCCATTACCATCCATCATTTTAGTCGTCTCCATCAAGCTCCCAGGCAGCACATAGAGAACATCTCCTTCCATGCCAAACTTCCCATTGCTACCCTCAAACTGCTCCAGATCCATGTGATAACCGAGATTTGATCGACAACGACGACATGATGCAAGATACCGCTTCTCGTACCCATCGTCAAGTTTGAGGATTATCGCTTTATCGTTGACCTTCACACTGCCGGGTGCCAGCGCGTAGTCTTTCGCGATGTGATCGCCATAGCGCTCGCGCGTTGGCAACGTGTTCAGCGGCCCAAGAGTGGCAATAATGAGCTGAGAACACAGGCAATGGTACGTTGAGTAGCCGGCATTGCTGCTTGTCTCGCCGTTCTCGCCTGCCATATTGTACACTGGCATAGATGCTATGGAAGGAGGAAGGTAACACAGTTACAGCCTAGTCGCTTTCGGAAGGCGCGACAGCGGAAACATCCCGCTATTTACCAGCGTAAACAATGAACTTTCCGTCTTGTTGACGAAGACTGGACACAGCTTCGCGATGCGCTGAGAACATCCAGAGCTCTTTACTGACAGATCCAGCATCATGAGGATCACGGAGCTGGTCATCGACGGCTTCAAGTCGTACGCGGTGCGCACTGTCATCTCCGGCTGGGACAGCACATTCAACGCCATCACTGGTCTGAATGGATCCGGCAAGTCCAACATTCTCGACTCAATCTGCTTCTGCTTAGGAATTGGTCGCTTCGAACTGCTTCGCGCAAATGGCGGCGCCAGCGATCTCATCTACAAGCGTGGTCAGGCCGGTGTCACTAAGGCCTCGGTCACGCTGGTGTTTGACAACAGCGACAAATCGAAAAGCCCGATTGGCTTTGAAGACTATGCCAGCATCAGCGTCACCAGACAGATTGTGCTGGGCGGTACAAGCAAGTATTTGATCAATGGGCATCGTGCGCAACAACAGACGGTCCAGAATCTCTTCCAGAGTGTTCAGCTCAACATCAACAACCCGAATTTCTTGATCATGCAGGGCAAAATCACCAAGGTGCTGAACATGAAAAGTACAGAGATTTTGGGCATGGTGGAGGAAGCAGCTGGAACACGCATGTTTGAGGACAGGCGAGAGAAGGCGTTCAAAACAATGGCGAAGAAGCAGGCCAAGGTTGAGGAGATTGAGGGTCTGCTGAAGGAAGAAATTGAGCCGAAGCTGGACAAGCTGCGAAATGAGAAGAGGGCTTTCTTGGAGTTCCAGAGCACACAGTCGGACCTAGAGCGATTGCAAAAGCTGGTGGTCGCGTACGATTACGTCAAGAGCAAGCAGAAGCTTCAGCAGAGCGCGTCGGATCTACAGGCGAAGAGGGAGCGCGCGGAAGAACTCGAGGCAAACAAGGACAAGCTGGAGCGCGAGATCGGTGTTCTTGAAGAAGATATGGAGAAGGTACGTGCGACAAGAGACAAGGAGCTGCGGAAAGGCGGCAAGTTTACAAAGCTCGAGGAGACTGTCAAGGAGCACTCGCACGAGATCGTCAGATTGGCAACAGTCATCGACCTGAAGAAGGCGTCGATGCAGGAGGAGGAAGAGCGGCTAAAGAAAGCGCAGGCCAATGTCAACGACTTGGAGAAGCAGCTCAAGCAGAAGTCAGATGCGCATACCAAGCTGCAGCAGCAATTTGAGGAGTCAAACAAGGAGCTGGACGAGCAGAAAGCTGAGGTCGAGAAGAAAGAAGAATTGTTACATACATTGCAGACTGGTATTTCGTCGAATGCAGGCTCAGATGGCGGATATGCTGGGCAGCTTGCTGCAGCACGAGAGTCTGCCAGCAAAGCGGGCACTGAAATCGAGCAGGCGAAGCTCAAGATTTCGCACTTGGAGGCACGCATCAAGGAGGATGAGCCTCGTGCAAAGAAGGCCGAGAAAGAGAACTCCACTTTGCTTAACGATCTCGAGACTTTGCGAACACAAGCTGCAAAGCTGCGGAAGGAGCTTGAGAAGCTCGGGTTTGAGCCAGGTCGTGAAGAACAACAGCAGACCGAGAAAGCCCAGCTGGAGAAGCGCATCCGCACTCTGCAAGGAGAGGCAGAGGCGCTGCGGAGAAAGGTTGCAGGCTTGGATTTCTCGTATTCAGATCCAACACCTCACTTCGACAGGCGGCGAGTCAAAGGTCTGGTAGCTCAGCTCTTCAATCTGCCAGAGAACAACTCAGATGCCGGTACAGCCCTTGAGATCTGTGCTGGCGGTCGACTCTACAATGTCGTCGTCGACTCTGCTGATACCGGCACACAGCTGCTACAGAATGGAAAGCTTAGGCGACGAGTCACGATCGTGCCTCTTGACAAGATTGCAACTAGTCGTGCGCCAGCCGACAAAGTGGCGGCAGCGCAAAAGCTCGCACCTGGCAAGGTCCATCTTGCGCTCACTTTGATTGGGTATGAGCACGAGGTTGAAAAGGCAATGGAATTTGTCTTTGGCAATACTCTGGTTGCTGCGGACGCGTCGACGTCAAAGAAGGTCACCTTTGATCCTGCTGTCAGGCTGAAGAGTGTAACATTGGAAGGCGATGTCTACGATCCAAGCGGCACGCTCTCTGGTGGCTCTGCAGCGCAAGGTTCAGGTGTGCTACTCACCCTGCAAAAGCTACATGTCATCACACAGGGGCTTGAGAAGGAAGAAGAGAAGCTCGCAAAGTTGGAGCACACAATTGCAACCGAAGCGCAAAAGATGAGGTCAGCAAAACAAATAAAACAAGAACTCGACTTGAAGGCGCATGAGATTCAGTTGGCGGAATCGCAGATTGCTTCGAATTCGTCCTCCAGCATAATCGCATCTGTGAAGGAGATGAAGGAGACCATCGCGGCACTTAAAATCAGTATCGCCGACGCGCAAAAGCGAAAGCAGGAAGCTGATGCTGAGGCGAAGAAGATCGAGAAGGAGATGAAAGACTTTTCCTCCAATAAGACTCGCAAGCTCGAACAACTATCGAAAGACCTCGACAAATTGAAGAAGGCATTGGCCAAGGCGCAAGCTGCTATTAAGCCAATGCAACAGGAAATGCGTGACGCATCCATCGACGCCGAGCAGACGGGCTCTGATCTGTCAGCAGCGCAAGAGGAGTTGCGAGATGCTGAGACGACGCTCGCTGGCCACAAGGAGGAAATGGCTGTACTTGACGCGGAGGCTTCGCAAGCGAAAGAGCATCACGATGAAGCACAAGCCGAGCTGAATGACGAGCGAGCCAAACTCTCAGGCTTCGACGAGGAGATCGCAGACCTTGAACGCGCATCCAAGCGCAAAGGCCAGCAAATCGCTGACGAGAAGCTTGAGGCCCAGAAGCTCGGCCACGCCATTGACAATTTTTCGAAGCAGCAGCAGCAAGCGCAGCAGATCCTCACGACAATGGAGAAAGAGCACGATTGGATCCACGAAGAGGCATCCTCCTTCGGCAGACCGAACACGCCCTACGATTTCAGCGGACAAAATATGAGCGAGTGCAAGTCTAATCTGAAGACCGTGACCGAGCGCTTCCAAGGCATGAAGAAGAAGATCAATCCTGCCGTCATGGCGACCATCGATTCTGTCGAGAAGAAAGAAGCAAGTCTCAAGCAGATGATGCGCACTGTCATCAAGGACAAGCGGAAAATCGAGGAGACGATCAGCAGTCTTGACGAGTACAAGAAGGAGGCATTGGAGAAGACGTGGCGGAAGGTGAATGAGGACTTTGGCCTGATCTTCAATGATTTGCTCCCGGGCAATACTGCGAAGCTTGACCCACCGGAAGGCAAGACGATCAGTGATGGTCTCGAGGTCAAAGTCTGTCTGGGCAAGGTCTGGAAGCAATCCCTTACTGAGCTTTCAGGTGGTCAAAGGTATGTCTCCCTGACTTTTGTAAAATGGGAATTTTCCCCTACTAATAACAGCATTCTAGATCCCTCATCGCCCTCTCCCTGATCCTCTCCCTACTCCAATACTCGCCCGCGCCCATGTACATCCTAGACGAAGTCGACGCGGCACTCGATCTCTCACACACCCAGAATATTGGCAGACTGATCCGCACGAGATTCAAGGGCTCGCAGTTCATTGTGGTGAGTTTAAAGGACGGCATGTTTGGGAATGCGAACAGGATTTTCAGGACGAGGTTCATGGACGGAACGAGTGTGGTTCAGGTGCTTGGGCGTGGGGATGTGAAATGATCTGCTTTTGTGCTGGTGTCTGGTGCTCGTATAATGAGGTGATGTGTGGCGGTTTTGGGCGCTGGTATTTGGTTCCGGGTTG